ATGCCTGGGAACCCGACTTTTAAGTCCCCCGCACTGGTCACTGGGGGACTTTAAAACCGGACTCGCACAGCTCTGGGCTTGCTACGGTGATAATCAGGAGTGAGCTCGACTGATTGAGTGTGCCACGAGATGTCTTGGTCAAGATCCTGGAGCGATCCGGTCTGCTCGAAGCGCGAGCGCGTTAGATGCCCCAAGACGTGGCACAACTCCGCCTTGCTAGGGTCATCTTCGTGGACAAGAGCAATGGCGCGTGTGTAGCATAAGATGGCTCGCTCAAGATCCTCGGGATCGTTCGAATGCTTATAACGCCCGTTGAGCGAATCGCCCAAGTTGCGGTATCGCCGAGGCTTGTCGGAATCCCCATCTAGCGTAAGTTTGACCGCAAGTTCATGGTATAGGATGGCCTGCTCGAGATCCGAGACCTCGTGTCCGTGAACAAAGCGAAGGTGAAGCAAGCTACCGAGCTCGGTAAGATGTGATGGCTTGTCAGACTGGTCATCCTCCTCGAGTTCGACTGCGCGGCTTCGTGCTGCAATGGCGTTCTCGAGATCTTCGGGTTTATCATGTGCCCAGAAACGAGTCAGAAGCTTGTTACTGTAGTGGTAGAGAGCTTCTGGCTTCTTTGGATCGTCATCGGACCGGATGTCGATCACGCATTGGGAAGCTACGACGTCGCAATCAACATCTTCAAGCTTCACCACAGAGCTAAGGTGCCGTCGTAGTAGCTTATGCAGCTGATAGATGCACATAGTTCTATCCAGCCCGCTATCAGCGAGGAGCTGGACCCCACGACGACCAACTGAGACGATATGGTCGAAGTCAGCTCCGTTGCCGCTGAGCGCAAAACGGGTGACAAGTCGAAAGATGAGATCCTGGAGCAGTATTGTGTCGGTGCAAGAGTCGACATCATGACCTGTAGCCGCCTGTGTGGCTTCGATAGACTCATCGAGAAGGATCGGATTGGTAAAGTCGGTGGCTCTGTACAGCTCCCACTTCAAGTTTCCTAGCTCGCGTGCATCGATAGACAAGGCGGTATCTGGACGCCCGCCCCGATGAGTTCTCAACTTGGGCATCCTGATTCGACGACTCCTGAACATCCCCACCCTGGGTGAGCCGTGTCCGTTAGTCAGTGTTCCATATGTTATCGTAACGTAGCAATTCGTGGTACTCACTTGGTGGAGACTGGTAAAAGATGGGTCGTGCTTCAAGCAAACGGGTAGGATTGCAGTCACCCTACGAGTATGGATATATATACCTTTCGCGCGCCTATCGCTATGATGGTCCGGGCATCGATTACGCGCTGGGAACTCTGCGGGAAAGAGAGAGACCTAGGTTTAGTTAGATTACACGCGGCCTACACCTGATACTTGCATGCGCCATCTTAGTACTGCTCTTGTATTGGCCGACGCCCCAATTTCGATGCAAACCTTGCAATAAACGCGACACTGCTGACATAGGCACTGTGACCTCAGGTCTTCAGACAGTATCTGCCATCGTAGCTGCAATAAAGGAGGTTCAGGAGCACCACTTGGATTGCAGTGCAGAAAAAGTAGGCTAAGGCCTTCTCTCGATGATGGTGGGAAGCAACAGAACGCGCGCGGCCGCACACACCGCGCGTCTTGCTCCTGGGCTGTCACCACACCATCCGCACCACAGTACTCGGCTACCTCACTATCTCCTGGATCTGACTGCGTATACTGTACACGAATATGGTATTGCGGATGGAAGACAGATACAGCGGTGAAACTGGCTGAAACTGCTCCTATGGCCGACTCGTCAACCTCAAGCTCTGGACGGTTTAGCGGACCTCTTTCCTGCGCTTCAGGCAACGCCATCAACGGAGCCTTCATGTCACGGTCTACCGTGTTCTCGGCTCGGGAATAGTACTGGGGCTGCTTATGCCCAGCGTACATAGATAAGGTCAAACACGGGAAATGGGGATGGATCGCCTCGTATGTCGTCTTCCTGTGTGTTCTTTTTAGATAACGAGGCTGAAATGCAGTTCTGGACTATGACAGGAGTGATAAGCAGGAACGAGCAGTCATACGCGATACACCGGGATATCCCTAACCCTACCTCTCTACCATACGTATGTTATGCCGTAGCAGGCAACCCTCCCCCACACAGTATTGTGCCCCACGCTTCTAGTTGATATCCTCTCTAGCTTGCGGCGTCACTCCAGTGCTCGTACGCATACCTCTTCTACTTCGCAACGCAATGTCTTCACCTCGCGAAATCGTTATCACGTACTTATCACCCATTCCTCACGATATATCCTTACATCACTGAACAAGTATATGGATACCGTTCCTTCAATCACGAAGCATAGTGTGTAGGGATTTTGTGTGCAATCACGATGTGGCACCACAGTCTTACGCAGCCATCGCGTTGGGATGTGTCTTCGAGTCATTGTTGTGCGCTTTATCTTTATGGAGCAATAGGTTGGTAGGATATAGCCGATGCGTGTGATAATGTACATGTGCGACGTGTCCGAGACGTACCCTTGGAGAGAGAAAGCAAAAACAGCAGTTACATTCGATACACCCCAAAGCCAGCGCCGCTTCCATCCCAGGTAGTCGGGCGGGAGGTACCGCGTTCGCGAGCCGCCAATGCGAGCGCAAGGCCCACGACGTCGCGCGTGTCGGTAGGCTTGATGATGCCGTCGTCCCAGAGGCGCGCACTGGCGTAGTACGCAGACGACTGAGCCTCGATCTCTGCCTTCAGGGATGCGTGTTGCGACGGATCCCTGGAAGATGCAATCAGTCATCCGGGTATGACAAGGGCGCAGTGCTGAACACCTACCTGGAGATCGTCTGCATGACCTGGCTGAGTTGGCCGGGACCCATGACGGAGACTTTCGCGTTCTATGGAGGGTCAGCCTCGGTTCCCAGTTTGTCTAAATGCGTACTCACGGGCCACATCCACAAGAATCGAGGCGAGTACTGCGAGGGAGGTTAGATACAAACGTATGATGCAATGTTGGAGCGTAGAAGTCTTACCGCTCGTCCAGACATCCCTGAGCGTCAGAGTGTGAGCGAATGCAAATACGAGATGAAGTTCAAGAAAGCGTACCATAGTTACCCGCACCGAAGCTTCCGCCCACGACGACGGTCAGCTTCGGTACATCTGCACACGCCACCGCGCGAACCATCTTCGCACCGTCCTTCGCGATGCCACCGCGCTCGGCCTTGGATCCGACCATGTAACCGGTGACGTTGACGAGGAAGAGCAGAGGGATCTTGCGCTGGGAGCAAAGCTGAATGAAGTGCGTCGCCTTAAGCGCCGAGGGTGAGAACAGGATGCCATTGTTGGCCACGATGCCAACAGGGTAACCATGGACGTTCGCAAAGCCCTACTCCGCTATCAGTAACATTGAGTCGCATTCGTATAACTGCGTCCTACCGTGACGATGGTGGGACCGTACTCCTTCTTGAACTCGCGGAAGCGGCTACCATCGACGAGACGCGAGATGACATCGCGCATGTCAAAGGGTTGCCTAGAGTCTGTACCGACAATACCGTGTAGTTGCTCTGCAGAGTATAAAGGCTCTTCCGACGCAGCAGGTGGCTGATTGGTGAGTCAGCGCGCTGCCATCCGACCGTATGTGAGGAATAGTACCTCTACAGGGCGTCCACCTGCAAAACCCAAGTCTGCAACTATGCCACGGGCAATGGCTATCGCATGGGCATCGTCGCGGGCGAGATGGTCTGTGACACCGCTTTCAGAGGAATGCATCTGCCCTCCACCAAGCGTCTCATCGTCGACGTCTTCGCCGGTTGCCGCCTTCACGAGCGGAGGGCCAGCAAGGAAGATACGTCCCTGTTCGCGGACGATGATGTTCTCATCCGCCATCGCAGGTACATATGCGCCACCTAGATGCCGTTCAACACCTTGCGATCACGAATGCGTTCAAAAACCGTACCAGCGACGGATATGCCGTGCACGATTGCAATCTGCGGTATTCCAAGCGCAGACATTTGCGCCTATCATGCAGGCTACGTGAGCGCAACATGATATGAGACACGTGAACCACAAGACGAACCATGTTGTAGAATATCCGTCCGAAGTGTTCCTTGTCAGGGAATACCTACAGCAGCCATCAGTAGACATATGCGAGAGGGACGGATGGCTTTACATTTGCTTGATGCGGTAGAGCTGCACCTCCAGATTCAACTGCGTAAGATGATGAACTTTAGCTGGAGGCTCAGTGATGTTCGGTGGTCAAACGCACCGACGTATATGCACGGCAGACCATGCTCGCGGGCGATCTCTTGCGCGCGTAGTTGCTTCTTCACCTAATAAGTGCGCCGAGACGTTAGCTCGTATGAGGACAGCGCATATATCAGACGACGTACAGTGAGAGGGTAGTATGAACCACCCTTTACAGTCGCGTCATTCACGACTATCACGCATTCGCGCCCTGAGACGCGACCGATGCCGGTGATTATACCAGCACCAGGTACGGATTCTCCCGGGTAGACGTCGTAGGCAGCGAGAGAGGAGAGCTCGAGGAATGGTGTATGCGGGTCCAATAAGTGTGATAGCCTGCGCTCGTGTTCAGAGGCAGATCTTCGTACGTGCATGAGACAGACGTACCTCTCGCGGGGAAGCAGCTTCCCTTTACTCCGCATTCTGTCCTGTGCTTTCACGCCTCCACCTTGCCGCACCTCTGCCAGTTTGGACTCGAAATCCTCAATCAACTCGTCCATGGCACGAGACTTGGCCAGAAACTCGGGCGAGGAAGTCGAGACAAGGGAGGGCAGAACAGACGCGTTGTAGTGTCTCACACCGCGTGCTGCTCGAGTCGCAGCGCGCACAGTGGCCCGAGGGAGGTTCAACATGGTCACGATAGCGCAGAGGCCAACAGAAACGAGAGTGCTCGACGTCAAAAGCAACCTGCGCAAGATCCGGGGCATGCTCACCTTACCCCGCATTCTCAACCCGGCATTCGGTCCGAGCACCGCGCGCGCGTCATCTCGCCACCTTACGCGTTTCCTCACCTTGTCCTGCGCGCCCATAGGCGTCACTGTGTGCGCCTACACTACGCTTTACCAATATCATATACTCTCAGCGCTCGTGAATCTGGACTCTAGCGCCCGTACGGGCCCATGCTCCCCTCTCGGTGCAGTCTTCACCCTTGACCCGTGCGCGTCGGGTCTGGATACGGCGTTCAGTGTGCTCGACGGTCAGAACAGCGGGTGCCGTAGTCCCTCAATATCCATTTCCTGATAAGATTGGGCTCCTGCCGCTCTGAGATCTGGGCTTATGTGATAAGTAGCAGCGTGCTCGCCATCTGCTTGTCGTGGCAACCCGCGACTGTGTGAAATCGAGTTGAACGCGCGCTCCCTGCGCTCGGGCGCCCGACCGCCAACAAGGACGAAGAGCGGCGTATACCCAGGTCGCTCCGGGAAGCCCCAGTGCTTGTCTGGAACATCCGAACTCTGCCTTTACCGATGCGGATGATCCTCGCAAACCTCGGTCGCCATCAGAGTGCGCGGGCAGTGCGCGTCTCAATATGCACAGTTGCAAAGTGTAAACCGTATCACGCCGGTGAGCCACATATCACTCGCATCCCAGCCAAAGCGCCCAGAGCTGCCCCGGCGCGTTCTGACTTTGCTGAAATGTTGGCATAGAGGATCGATACCTTAACTAGGATCAGCGCGTACCTGCGCACCTCTCCGTGTTGTGATCGCCGTCTGCTGCATGGACGGCCGACACTCCGAGATCTGGCTCAACTGAAGAAGAAAACAAAGCTGACCCTTGTGTGAGCGCAGTTACCAATCCGGACAGCATTGTGAGACGAAGGCGCGCTTACGATTCTTTCAATGCACCTATAGAGCACAGGCATCTCCGAAAGAGTCGCGCCTGACTGAGCTCTGTACTCAGGCTGTCCGCTCACCGAGCCCCATCATCGTGGTGCCGATCAACGGCCTTGTACTACTATGCGGCGTCGACATCCCTGCAGGCTCGCGTGAGTCTGTAGATCGTTCGTTCTACCCGCCTCTAGCCGAAACTTACGAGCCAGAGCAGACTCAATATACATCAGGACTTCCGTTCCGTCTCTCAATCTTCAGCGCTGGACGCCCACGCGGTTCATCGCGACCAGACATTCAGTCTCGCAGTAGCTGTCGGATTCGAGGCCAACCTGCGTCGTAGGAGCCTGCCGGGACCCGCGGGACCACGCTCCAGTCCTCTCGGAGTTAGGATCATGCCATCCGCGCAATTTGATATGGCTGGCAATTGACTTGTGTACGCTTTGTCGGCTTTGTCGGATCTTTGGAACACGACTACTGATCACCCACGTTTCATGCATTGTTCAGCGCCAGATTCTGAGCATCAGCGCAAAGCGATCAAACGGAGACTCCATTGAGTCTTGTTCAAGTGAGTTGGTGGCTCGGTCAAGGCTCGGTATACTCTGTATTCCATTTGAATTGGCTGATCCTAGTGTCCGGTCCATGGACGTTCGCTGATATAGCACTTGATGACCTGATCTTTAGGACTGGATCCTTGTATCACATCGATCGCTAGCAGCCGTTCATCGGCCATTATTTCTTCCAACTTTATGATCTTTCGAGCGCAGGCGTGTGCGGCCGCCTAGCAGTTGTGGTAGACCACGCTCAAATTTGGCGGGGTAGCGCTAGATGCGTTGACCGTTAGCCCGAGACTGAGCGCTGAGCCGTAGTCCGATTCGTACTTACACTGACATGTCTCTATCTAGTATTCGTATCCGAGCAGCTCGCAACTTTGATTTCTCCATGATACTCTCAAGTCACGGCCGGACCGGCTCGAGCGTGAACCAGATCGGCGTACATTGACTGCGGTATCCTTACAGCCCCTCAGGAAGAGCAATTGCCCAATATACACATACATAACCCGGCTCAATCGGCTACTGAGAACGCCGCGCGCCGCCGCCGCATCCTTGCAAGTCTAGTGCACATCGAGCTATAGACATACCTTTGTGAGCGATGGATTACTTATGTCTCGGGGCTCTATGGCGGGACGATTGACGGGTATTCCGCCCAGTCCGAGTCCGGCGCGCGTGCTCTCAGTGTCGTACGTCGACCAGCATGGTCGCGGCGTTCACGGCTCAGTCGAAGGATCCTCTCGGTGCCTGACTCTCATACACACATGTTGTGTGGCCTCTTACATATGTTCTCGCGACCGCCGATCCGCCGTCGTCGACGACGGCGACGTGAACCGGCTCGCAGAAAATGGCGTTGAATCTTGATCGCCGCGGATTATCCTGCGGAAACATATGATCGCCGGTCACCCCGAGCCGCACACACGTCTACGAGAGCCTGAGTGCTTTCCCTCCCGCCTCAGACGTACTGTATGCTCGCGCGGCGACCTCGCAAGCTCGGACCGTCCTCGTCGCGCCTGTCAGGCGGCGTACCTCGCTGGCACCCCATCTCGGAAGAATACCTCAGATGCGGTCATACCAACGCAGAATAGCTTAGATGAGACTTACAGCTGAGCTCTTCCCGAGGCGTATATGCACATACCTGTACACTCCATCTCACCCTCTGCCTTCGCAGTCCCACAAGTCAACACAGTCTACCGAAGAGCCGCCGGCCGAACGTCTGCGCTCAACCGATGCAGCCGTACCTCGACGTCCTGCGCGCAGGTCACGCGCCGATACCCCTGCACCCGCCGAGGTTAAGTTACCGCATAGCTTACCTCTTTATTACAGTGTCTGCAGCAGAGACGCATCACGCCCTGCAGCGCGTGCTTAGACGATGATCAGGGAAACGGCAGCTCTCGGTTCTCAGTTCTCATAGGCTGGCCAGCTGAGGTCATCAGGCGAATACCGGCGGGAATTAAGCATCGCGGGGGAACAGCTGCTCGGAAGACGCGTCCGTGTTGGATGGATGGACAGAGTGATCACGACGCTTTGTGTCGACTTACGACCCGTTCGGGCAAGTCAGCTGAGCGCCGTACGGGACGACGAGCCGTACGACGCAGCTCGCACGATCGCACAACGCAGAGCGACGCCGTTTGCGCATCAAAACACGTACGCGCTCCCGCGTATGCCGATGCCCGCCCGAGGTCCAGGGATACATACTGTATTGAACAGCAACGAGAGCCATATATCAAGTCCGCCATCTCTGAGAAGCCCGGCGGCCCGCGGCGGGGCGGCGACTCGGAGAAGGAGAGGGTGTGCTTCTGCGGTGCTCGACGTCGAGATCGTACGGATGTCCAGATGTACTCGTATTGAATGCAGTCTGCGGGCTACCGTGTCCCGAGTCCGGCATTGTCATGCCTAAACGAGTAGCTCGGCGACGCCGCCGCCAGCACGCCGCTCGATGGTGTCCTGTAACACGTTGAATGAAGCGTAGCATCCCGCCGTACCGTCAGCTTACAGCGAAGCTTACACCGTCCACCTGAGCTGACACCGTCGTTGCTGGACTTGTCATCATCGTAACCTGCCGCGTCAGATCCAGGACTCGACCGCTGCGCGATTTGATCGAACCTCCGAGTCCGATGAATGCAGCGTATATGCCCATCTTACGCATCCTGGCCCTGCTCAGGCTATCATCGGCAAGCTTTGTTGCAGGGCAGGCTCGAAAGATTGTTGATGGACTCAGAATCAGAGATGGGAGGCTAGGACAAGGCGTGCACTCAGACGCTTTGACAGAACGCATAGAGCTATCCGAGCGATACCGGCCTGATGGACGTGATGCGCGCCGGGGCCACAAAGGCGCGGCACGGGTTTTGCGCATCCCATCTCCGTATGCGGCCTTGCCAACAAACAACAAACAGTACAGGTAGCAGCGCATCGCGGACCTTGTCGCTGCCACACAAAGCGCCCGATCGCTCGTTGTGGCCAGATTCGCTCGTCGTCATCGCACCGCCCATGAGGCGGGCGAGTTGATATGCAGGAGGGACGGGACAGGTACGATGCCGGCTATCCGGTTACATACCCTGCAGGCTAGATAGAGCAGGCTCGCTCGGGCGTGATTCTTTCTGTTGATTTCTCGAAGGATAGAAGATAAGATGTGCATGTTCATTTGTTTGCGCAGGGCGCGAGGGAACGCGCCTCGAAAGGGACGGTTTGACGGTATAAACGGTCTAGAGAAGCGTGATCTGTACGGGAGAGAGATGGGGCGGGCAAGTTGAAATGGTCTGAACGTGGGTTGTTGGGTCGTTGAATTGAATCGGTGTATGGTCTCGAAGTGCCGGCATTCGTGTGATGGCGATAGAGCAGCATCGAGAAAGCCGGGCGAGGCTTCCATCGAGAAGCTGGTCGATGATGTCCGGCGGGCGCGTGAGGGTTTGAACAGCTTCAGTTGTAGGAGAGTCAGACGAGGAGAGGACGGGTTATCTTCCGCCGAGACGGATGTAGATCGAAGGGGGCGGGGGCGGAAGAGCAGAAAGCTGAGACGATTTCCAGAGATGGATGGGATGTGGACTGGGTAACCTGATAAGGCAAGGCGCACGGCGGCGCAGATCAGAACGAGGATATAGAGCTACAGAGAGCGCTGAGGGCAACGGGCGATATAGCGAGTTTGGTCGCAGATCGGACGCGGCCAGGCGCCGACGCGGGAGGGCGGACGGGAGTTTGGGCCTGTTGACGACAAAAGGCTGTGCGAGGAGAGGAAAGGACGAGTTGCAAGCTTGGAGGGGATGAGCAAATGATGATGATGGGAAGGATGATTGGTTCGCTCGGGGGCGGTAGTCGGGTCGTTTATGCCAGGAAAGGCAAGTTGGAGAGAGAGAGGCGAAAAGCGTTGTGAGGCGCGAGAGGAGAAATGAAGGAGAAGATACCTCGAAAGCTTGAGATGAAGGGGACGGGACGAGGATACGCAGAGCTTAGAGCGAGGAGAGGGACGATGGAAATGGAAGAAGAATTCGGTCGGCAAGTCGCGGTGGGAATTGAGAGTCCGACGGGAAGCTAGTGATGGCGCCCTGGGTACTTAGATGAGACGGCTCGAGCGAGCGGCCGTAACGTGTCACTCCCCCTCGTCCCGCACCCGCGCCCTCCCCCGGTCTATGATCCTCTGAGCTCGAGCTTGTTCCCTCGCTCGCTCAGCAACTCCCCTCCCATCCGAACAGCCTCGCCGACCTAAGGACCCCGCCTGGAGTAAGTGGCCCGCTTCTTTGTGGGCGAACGACGTCGTGCTTAGCGTGGCCAACTTTGACAGATCCTCGCGACCCTTACCGGCTTCTTCTATCCGCCCCAACCCTTCCCCCTCAAACAAGGATCAGCAGTACGCTTGAGCTCAGCTCGCGACTGACAGCAATCGACCTCAACCACAACACCTCTCACGTCGCCGACGCTTAACCTTACCTTCTATTATCCCCTCGTTTTCTACCAACAAACCTTTTCATCATGACCGACGTCTCCTCTCCCGCGTCTGGCAACTCGCCTGCCTCACTCGACTCTCTCCCCGACACGCCCCTCTCGCCGACCTCGCCGGTCCAGACCCTCAACCTGCCTTCGTCCGACGCCAACAACGCCAACGCGCCGGCCGCTGCCAACAAGCGCAAGCCCTCCCGCCGCGCCAACACCGCAGAGCGCCGCGCGACCCACAACGCCGTCGAGCGCCAGCGCCGTGAGACTCTCAACGGCCGCTTCCTCGTAAGTCGCTTTTTCTGACAGCTTCCGTGCATCCCCTGACGACCGCGCCGAATTGCAGGACCTCGCCGCGCTTCTGCCCAACCTTTCCCAGATCCGCCGTCCCAGCAAGTCGGCGATCGTAAACTCGTCCATCGCACACATCCACTCCAGCCGTCGCCACCGCGCCATGGCTTCACGTGAGCTCCGCGGCCTCAAGTCCGAGGCCGACGCCCTCCGCCGCGAGCTCAACGAGTGGCGTGACCGCTCCGGTCTCCCTCGTGTCGAGGAGCCCATCCGCTCCGACGCCTTTGCCCTCGTTCTCTCGGGCGAGTGCGAGATCCTCCCCGTGATCCCCGGCATGGAGGACGAGGAACTCGAGGATGACGAGGACGGCATGCACTCGGCTCACCCCGACAGCCAGAACGAGCAGGACGCCATCCGCGCGTACGCCGCTCAGGCCCAGGCCCAGGCCGTCGCCCTCCAGCGCGCCCAGCTCTCGCGCCAGGGCCCGCTCATCTCCTCGCACCAGGGTGTCGCCTTCGACAACCCGGCTCTTCCCCAGCAGTCTCTCTACGAGCCCATCCCGCCTCAGTACCAGCAGCAGCAGCAGCTCCAGCAGCAGTACAACCTCTTCGACGACAAGCACGCCTGGTCCGCCCAGCTCGTCGCTGCCCAGCAGCAGATGCAGCTCCAGGCGCAGGCACAGGCGCAAGGCTACACTACCCCGCCCGGCTCGGCCCACGGCTACACGCCCCCGAGCTCCGGCTACGGCACCCCGCCCGGCGGCTACTTCGCCGGCGGTCGCATCGGTGGCGGCCTCGTCCGCGGCTCGCCCGTCGACGAGCTCTACAGCGACTCGTCGTCCGTCGGCAGCGGCCGCAACCGCTCCAGCTCCTTCGGCGCGGGCGCCCAGCCCTTCGACATGCCGCACGACCCCACCTTCAGGAAGCGCATTTCCGTGGGCGCCGGCTACCCGGGCTTCCCGCTGATGGCCTGAACGGGTCCTAGTGTTTCACCGCCTCGAATTTTGCCCTGCCTTGCCTGACTTGTATCGTCTCAAATTAACACACTTTGTTTCCATCTTGAAACGCGTCGCTTGCACGGCCCCGCGATTATACCATTCCTGCCCGCGCGCCGTCCGTTTGCTTCTCGTCCTTTTCTTCTTCTGAACTCTCCGTACTGGGCCTCGATTTCTTTTTCTTTCTTGTTGAGCTAAACCCAAACCACTCTCTACGCTGCGCGCGCGGCTTCCCCTTCCTCCCCACTGTGTGTACCACCACTTTATCCTTACTGACTAACTATTGCTGCTCCTCCATTCCATTCCTCCATCCACACCCACCGCTTACTGCTGCTGCTCCCACATTTCTGCTCTGCTTGCTGGTCTCGAGTCTGCTCCCGCGCGTTCCGCTCTTTCGGCCGCGCTTCCACACTCCTTTCGCTTCACCCATTCCACCCGCCTGGCCGCGACAAAGACGCGCCGGGGGGTGTTGTAGTAAACCCGCGCCCGCGCGGGTGTTTAGAGTATATAACTTGCGACGTTTGTGCGCTGTATCACTTGTTGGGACTCAAGCAAATAATCGGATTTCTGTTTTTCTCTGGGATTTTCTAGGTGTGTGATTCAAGCGATGAGTGACGAGGAAAGTACAGCCCGGAAAAGGAAGCTGGCTCTGGAGAAGTCGGTGTCGTCGGTCAAGTGCGCCGCCTTCGACGCCCCTTCGCCGAGGAATCCGCTGGTTCTCGCAGTCTGCTGACGCGCGCTCTTGCATAAGCGGTACGTTGGCCCTCTTTCTCTCTCGTTGTCTCGTCGTCTTCTGACCCTCTGCTCGCGGCATATCTGACAGGCGTACTCGGCCAATTCTCCGCATCAAGACGGCTCGTACAGCACTCCTTACAGTACTATGCCGCGCGCCGACAAATTCCTTGGTGGCGTGCGCTCGCAGCTCTAGAGATCTGGATCCTCCTGCGGCGGCGCGTCACCTCTGCAGGATCCACTTCGACTCGAGCGCTCGTGTGCCCGGCGGTTTCTGAGCAGAAGGGAGTACTCAGATGTTCTTCTCATGCGATGGCGTGTTTTCCAACTTCCCCGGCTCAGATTCGCTCTCTCACCCGGTGGCCCGGGAGTACTCCGGCTCTATCATACTTCTCTGGAGGCTTGCGCGTCGAGGGTACAGTGGGGAGTAGGCCGACCTCACCCATTACGACTTTGTCGGAGAAGAGGGCCCCATGGCCGTGTGTGCATTCACAGCTGGGGAGATTTGGTCTCCCTGAATGCAGACATCGTCATCGTCATCGCATTTCATCTCCCTCAGCTTTACGGCCTCAACTCAACCTTGTATGCCGGCGGTTTGGATGCGCACGGCCTCTTCTACCCTACGCGCGCAAGCACCGGGTGGCGCCGGCGTACTTCGCGAAGGCTGAAGCAGCTGATATCCCTCCGCCCATACCGACACGCTAAAGCCGTCATTCGGCGGGGACGGGTACAGACGGGTGTGCGTGGGATGTCGTTGATGCCATGTCGAGCGCTCGAGCGCCCGACCGTCTTCGGCTGCTTCTGGTCTACCTTTTCGAGAGGACAGGGTGACAAGCGTGGTAAGTCCCTTCTATGGCTATATCATCTATGGCTTTACTATCTCCCAAGTTCGTGTTCTCATCATTGTTGGGACATCAACAGGATTCGACGTTGGACGCTGAGATCTGAGACGCCGGGTGTTACCCCAGAAGATACATTGGCATTGTACTCGACCCTGGGAGGTGGGAGGTGGGAGGTGTATGTGATGCGATCGGACTTTCGGCTGGCTATGTGGACGAGATCAGTCTCGTTCGCAGATGAGAATTTCGCGGACCAGAGGAGGATCACTACCCCGAGTGGCACTGGTTCCCGCAGCGCTCAAACCTGCCAGCGTCCTACCTGTACTCGGATTCCCGGGCGAAGGGGATTACTCCGTGCGGCGGTGGACCCCAGGATCATCATCTACTCGAGCCTTACGTCGACGATAGCGACTTGCACACGCACGGACGCTCGATTAGCGGCACGGGCATCGCATCCTACCATGGCGCTGTACAGTACTCGGACTCTCGGGCGAACGGGATTACTCCGTGCGGCAATGAAGCTTCAAGTTGGGCTCGCTGCCATCCCATCTGCTCGACCCTCGAGGCTTGCATGGGCGACGGTACACGCACGAACTCTCAGATAGCTGCGCGAGCAACACGGCGTCTGCTCCCGCTCTAGGCAATCCCGGTTCTTAAAAGATCAAAGCTGGTGCGCACCAGATTCGTGAATTTGAAATGGTTGCCACACTGGCTTACAGACCAGTATAGGAATGGCAGTCTTGTATCACACAGGCGTGCTGAAAGCGACTCGGATCGTGTTCGCAGCGGTCGCGCACGGATCTACCTCCGAGTGGCGTTGATCTGCCACTCAAGTCGCCTCTGCGTCGTCTGTGTACTTTAATCTCATAACTGGAAGCAGCTCTCTATATGTTACCGAATGGCGTAGCGCGCAGGATCGACGCCGACCATGCCAAGCTCGGGCTCCCGAGGTAATACCTACCGCGGCGTCTGTTGTGGGCGATCCTAGTTCTCGAAGCGCAAAGCCGATACGGAACAGGATCGTGTCAATTGAATACAGGCAATCTCTACTCCCAAGTTGTATCTGCCGCTGAGATGTTCATGCTGCAGCATGGTTCCCCAGACAGCACATGGTTACAAGTTGAAGTCGCGATAAGGAGTCGCCGTGGCCTGCCGGGGCTCAGCCGCTACTACATCGCTGACCCGCTCGCCATATCTATCCCTTACTCGCACCTCACCTCACCTGGCCCCCTTGTATCCGCATCCGCTCAGGATCGGACTACGAGCTTTAGCTCTGCCATCTATACGCTCGGTATATGCGCCTATCGGCGCTGGTAGCGCGGAGCACATGGTTCCGAGCGCTTGCCGCTTCCTTTTCCGTACAGCTTGCGAAGTTGCTTGCGCAAGCACGTACGGCGAGAAGGTCTTCTCTTGGGCAGGTACATACGGACGACGTAGTCGTATCGCGTGCGCAAGATCTAGTCATCTCCTTCAGGCGGCCTGAGATGAGCGACTCATACGCATTCCGCTGGTTGGAAGTTCTCAATCGGAGCGGGTCTTTTACCAGTCAAGTCCGCTTAGCTGCACGCAAGGGGTTGACTGGGGTTTTGAGTACTCTAATTCGTACTCACTCGTGTGACTCCATAGCCTCGTGGGTCCCGTCAGAAGGAGAGGCAATTTCTAGCGCACCTATCCTGGTACGGAGGACGCCCCGTTAATTGCACGGACTCGGTAGCCTCGGGGCTCTCGGAGTACAGGATCGCATGAGACAGCTTGTTTCAAGGATGCAGAGTCCAAAAGAGGCAAACCATCGATGGCTAAGTTGTTTAGAGTACTCGTCTCCATCACGGTTTAGCTCACGCAGGCCGGTCACTGGTTGTGGACGCATATGGGCGACAAGACTTGTGTCTGCCGTATGCGACGACGAACCGCGTGCTCGCCCGACGACCGACGTCAGCCGCTGTTCGCCCTTTGAGTCGCACGCGGACGTGTTCAGCTTGTGTGCTTGATGGTGACCACGGACGTCGATCTTGGTGTCTTGAGGGTCGACTTACCGCACGGTTGGCTGGTTCGGCAGATATAATCGACGTGGGTCTGTGTGGTACGCGCGGGTTGGAGAGGCACGGGGCTCAGCGGGCACACGTACTCCGCCTGTGAATGTTGCAATTATGTGCTGCGAGCCAATAGAGGGTCTTCCCATCCTATCTGTACATCGTCATAGCTGGGTTGGGCGTTTAATTTGGGCGATAAGCGTTGGCCTGGATCGTCGCGACCACGCTCCGTGTAAGAGCTTGTAGCCAGTGTGCGTATGGCAATCGTATCTTATCGTATACTGCATGCATTCATGGCCTGCCTACGTCACTACTAGCATAGGTCGCTAGTCATTCGCGGCAGCACAACCGAGGCAGGTGCTCAAGTGAGCCGTCTTCTCGAAGGATTCGGAGAGCAACCAGCGTATGTACGCAGACATGAACTTACGAGGTCGATCTTTCGTTCTTGACGTGCGCAGACTTTGTCGCATGGGTGTGCTGATGATTGATATCTGCCAGATCTCCGTATCGGCCATCATGCATCACAGGTCTTTAGCGCATGTTCTTGTCTTGGTAGAGAGCTCTTCGGCAACTACAGGCTGTACGTCGGGCCATGATACAAGCGAAATGGCGACGAATGCCGCACCTAAGATGGTTTCCAGCATTCGCGAGCTCCATCGGTAAGACTGTCGATAGTCATCATGTCCTGCTCAGTCTTGAGTGCATAAGCGGACGGCGAACGGGAGGAAACTGCATATTGCTCGCAAGACGTCGGTCAGGACGCAAGTGGATGAAGTCCTCAACATGCAAATGCTGTATACGTTCAATGCATATCATGGTTTCGAAGAAGGATAACATAGCAATCAACGTGAGCTGTACGTAAATGGGATGTGGTACTTCAAGCCTCTAATTCCCTTGCACGCCTATAGCATTGTTGTGTGAGCGCTCGAGGAAGATACTTTCGTAAGCAACTCGCTCACCTCGGTCTTGCAATACTTTCGTGGCGGTAGTTGAGTTAATCCTCGGCTTGTACCTGTTGTTCTGTACGGGCATAAGTCTACTAATCTTCGCAGAATAGAACTATGTAACGCACCGATGGGTAGACATGTATCGTCTTTCGAGTGCCATCGGCACTGAGGTAGACTACTGGGCCCTGTTTAGAGTGCGGGGTCCCCACCGGCACGTCGGATGTCATGCCAAAGACATGGCGCTTGCGTGTGACGGATGCCTCTTGTATCACCCACTGGAGGAATCTGAGCTGGCGCGGACATCCCCCAACCAGATGAACATTGTCTAGGCGCGGAAAGATCAACATTGAGCATCCAAGCTGCGAGGATTGTTGGCGGAGGAGACTCCAAAGAACAGGCATTGAGCGAGCTTCGACAGCTAATTCTCGAATGTTTCGGGCTCGAGATAGCGTCGTCAGCCACATAGAGCGCGGTAACAGTGGTAGGTGTGCAGCGATCTCGATATCAAGGCTACGGATCTTGTCCAGCGGAAGCGATTGCGCCATGATCAACACGAGTTCGTGATGCCAGGTATTCGGATTGGGTATATCGTCGGAGACTGGAGTGTACAGAACACTCATCGCGACTCTGCCGTCATGACCATCTCGGAAAAAATTGAAGGTGACGCTTCTCCCCTTTTCCAGGCTCCCGTTGACGAGGACATGCAGCTGAGGCTTTTTGATGTTTTCGATGGAGGGGCTGAGCGCGGTCGCAAACGTGACGATGTCGGCCGCGTCGGTAGGCCCGGTCCAGTTGTTCATGTACAATGCGAGTGCGTCATGATGTAGGCGAAGAGTTCGATGAAGAGTCGCACATGCTCCGGGTTTATCGTACATGTTCAGTATTCGCAGGGTCTTCATGTCGATCTTTCTCTGCTCATCGAAATCTGGGTCCAGAATCAAGGAAGTAGAGACACAGCGGACCAAAATCAGCTTTTCCAAAGACCGTAACCGTCCTAAGACGTCCAATAGGCGACTGTATGAGCATGGAGCAGCTTCAGCAGGCCCGGGATTATTCAGCGGATTTTGCATCGCCCAGGAACTATCATAGAAACCGATCTCAAGCGCTGTCAGAGTATCGCAGAGAAGAGGATGGCTCCAGTCAAAGTAGGAGAAGTTGGAGAGCTTGAGGTGGCGCAGCCGAGGGGTATCGAACATCTGCTTTGGCCAAACGGCGGGAGTCATGCGAGTTTGTGGCGTGGCGGCTGTCATCCGCGCCCGCGCCCGCGGAAGCGAAGAATCGACGACCACTACAAGGGTCTCCAAGTTCGAAGCCGGCCTGGCGCTACCCATCTGTCCCACGATCCCGGCGAGAACAGGGCTTGACGCTTCCAATGTGATTGTGCGGGAACGAGCCACTATCGGTGCGAGAAGGCGCTCGCCATCTGGCGCGCCCGTGGTTTCAAATTCGATGGGGCGTATGCCACGAAGCTCCCAGCATATGTGAAGTGCGGATGACTTTGACCTTGAGAGTAAGGCGTCGACCTTGGCGCGAGACGTATAAAGAGGTGGATATGCCCATGTTCCCGGAAAGGTCTGGATGACAGAGCACCACCGGTGACAGACCATCATCAGGTCGGTTGGAGGAGGAGGATTTGGTGTGCGAGCGGCGCAAACGTATACGAAGATCCGCGACAGTAACTCATCGGGTAGCAAGTAGATTGCGGTGAGCCAGTTCATGCGTTGACTGAGCCTGCTCTGCATAACGTGTAGTGCATCGAGATGAGTCCGTAAAGAGTCGCGAGTCTGAGCTCTAGACTGTGGCGTTGCTGATGGCAGGGGATCCGTTAGATGCGCCGTATGAGTGTGCACGAAGGTCGACCAGAGCTTCTGTACGTCCGTCTCGCTGAGAAGTGGTCAGTTCTCCCTTTGTTCATCATCAGTAGAGATAAGATAGGAGTGCACCGTTTCGATACACGCTCCGCATAAAAAAGAGGTCCAGTAGAACCATCCTGTTCGTTTGGACGGTTCTTCATTCGACGTGAGCTGCGATGGTGGTGGAAGGCAGAGGGCCAGATCCGGAGCCGCGCCACTCATCGCCGCGCGCTGGCAACAGCCGATCCGGCGCCCCGCAGGGTTTCACGATAGGTATGTCGCATACTAGACTATCTCCACCTCCCTTCATCTACGAGGGTGCACAGAAGATAGGAACTCGAGCGCACTCGCCATCTTGAGTGCCCAGAGCATAGTGGTTACACACAAGATATACCAGGATATACCGAACACTTGAAAAAACGCGGTCACATGTGTATCAGCTCTAGAGGATCTAGACGCGTCGCAGGTAGCACGGTGGCCTCCCTGCACGCAGGTCACAAAGGCTCCGTGCATCCAATGATTGAGAATAAGTCCCGAAAGACAGGGGTGCATTGATACTACTCCCCATGGGAGAGCGACTGCATTCGCGTATATGTACAAACATGACAGACTGTATTACAACTTAGAGTACCCTTTTGATATGCTAAGCCCAGACCGTAGACCACAAAGACCCAGTGAGATATAAGCCCTTCTTCACGCTTGAAGCGTCTAGTACATGAGGTTGCCGACCGCGCTCGGTCCACCTGCGTTGGTGTAGAGAGCGGAGCCAGTGCCGACGTTAGAGACCGCGCCAGGATCGTTCGCCTGCATGAGCGCCGGGCTCGTCGCAACGAAGGGGAAGTAGAGCTCGATGTAGCTCTGAGAGTCCAGCCATGCAAAGGCAGACTTGAAGAAGGCGACCTGAGCAGACTGACCGCCCGACGGGTTCGCGAGCGCGAACTCAGTCACGACGATCTGTTTGCCGGGGAACGTGTTGTGCACTTTCGTGACGTAGGACTGGAAATCCGCGTAGCTGTTTCCGTACCAGTGCTGTGACAGAGTGAGTTACTTGACGGTTATAGACAACAAACAGTAGCTCACGATGTTGATGTAGTCGTAGAAGCATCCGCCGTTGCAAGCGGAGATGAAAGACTGCAACCACGAGATTCCCTGGCCCTGCGTGATGTTAGCAATGGACCAGCTTCAGGGTCGACTCGGTACGTACAGATGTTGTGCTGGAACTGATGGCGGGCAACGCCTTCTTGATGGGCAAGGGGTTGATGTATTGCTTGTACCTACAAGGCATGAGCACCGAGAACTGCAAAGGTAGTCGCTGTTCCGTACCAGTCAGCCGCGACAGGAGGGGTCATGTAGTTTGCCGTGTTCGAAGGAAGATCGGGCTCGTTTACGGAAAACACAGCTGCAGATGGAGTCAGCATTTGTTGTGTGCTGTACGTCAAGCAAGACTTACTAGCCCATCCCTGCTGTTGCCAGCGCGAGTAGAGCTGGCTGGGAGGTGACGAGGTGCAGTCCTTGCACCCTTGCATGCCGATGAATCCCAATCCACCATTACCACCTGTGGAGGACGGTGGCGCATACTAAGAACGTTCCAGTCAGCTTCTCGACATCAGATCAGCCTTTGGAGAAGCGCATACAGTCTCCCAATCGTAGCTAGTAAGCAAATGGTGAGAGACATGTATAACATGGAGCGAGATGGAGCACGTACATTGCCACGACCTGACCATCGCCGTTGTTGAGAACGCCAGGGTCGAGTGACTTGTTGTCTGTGCAGAGCGTCAGCGTGGATCCGCATCGACGTTAAGCTCGCCACCTACACCAAGGCCAGGCCAGACCACGTTTACCCGCTTGTGCCACAGGCAGGGACACGGTGACAGCGAGGGCAACGAGAGCGGAGAGTTTGAACATGTTGTTGAACAAGGATGTGCGCAGATGCAGAACCGACTCGAGAAAGAGCGGATGGTCCTGTCAGAGGTAAACCGAGTATACCTTTTATACTTGCTGCCCATGCGTCTGTTCCGTCTCTGTGTGATGCTGCAACAAGTAAGACCCGTAACTTGTATGTGTGCTCGCATGCTCAACAAGGCACTCGGCCCAAGTAGGGAGACGCCCATTCCTTTCCCTGAAGGATACCGACGGAATTTGGCGGACATTGTGCTTGGCGGCGTAGTAACTGAGTTGAAACGATACGTGAATCAGGCAAGCCCCTGCCCGTGTCCGGTCAGCAGAGGTGTTAGCAGCGTGGTCGAACTGATAGTTCTGACCCTTGCATGCCGCGAGCGCCTACCGTCAACCCACTCGATGGCGGGAATAGAGCGGATCGTGTATTGTGATGGGCCATAGACCTCGGACACTTGGCGGGCCGATGAGGTGAAGCTGTGTCGGGAAAGTCCATCGCTGCTAACGGCACGAAAGATCCGCGGGTAAAACCGAAGTGTGAGAACAAAGGTCAAAGCAGGTTTGGCCATCTCCTGGAATATACGGAATTCAGCGCTCAACGTCGCTGTACATTTCCGAATCTAAGACCTTCCGGATAGCTCAGGGTGGAATGCATAACATGCAGAAGCAGCTGAGGATGCGGAATAGAATGCAACACATGCAGTAGAGCGTCGTGATAGGCCAGACCAGTCCGGACGACAGGGAGACTATTGACATTGCCGCACATCTTGATGCTGCCTCATGGTCACCATCTAGCTCGCCCGTTCGATGTATACAACCGTTGTAGTATTGCGTGTCAGATGGGAAAGGTTGTTTGGGGCGCTCACTCCGCCCAAAGCCGGATGCGCTGATCGGAGCCTGGTGCTCTAGCCGAGACTTGTTTTTCTGGGCTGCATTGGACCTGACGTAGGACTCCATATTGCCTTCTCGTATGCCCCAGCGGGAGATGGGGACCCCTGCGAACCCGCAGGATCACCAGCGGCGACTTCGTGGGTTCGCGTTGCGGCGGCGATCTTCGTTGTTCACATAGATGAGCCGGACGCGATGACACGACGTCGTCGGTGTTTGGTCAGACCATTGTTTGGAGTGTTGGTAAGTTATGCATGAGCTAGAAGCGCTCGAGCGGCTAAAACGACCGGGGATTGTGAACCCACATCACAGATATCTATGATTCCATTCGCAGCGCATGGACATATTCTGACGAATCAAAGGCCATGTACTTGTTCACCAGCTTCCCGCGGCGAAGATGATGAGTATGCGTTAAGAGCCGCAAACGCAACGGAACATTCACTCACGGTAGTAAGCGAAGGTGAGCGGTACACATCCAGACGCCTAGTCGTAGTCGAATGTTCCGTTGTGAACGAATTGGCTCTCGTACTCCCAGTCTGTTTCGAATATCACCTATCGAGGAGTGGTCAGGACCCAGTGCTCTTCAACGGGTGACGAGGCGGCGATTCTCACCTGCGCTTCGTTGCCGTTGTCGGGGACATCCTGAGGAGGGGGTTTCAACACGCTCGTTTGGTGCATGCTTGGGTCCGCAGGCAAAACAGCAAGCTTCGCGCTGCCATCTTCGATGAGCAGGGAAACATCCTTGCCCTCAATCGCGGCAAGGAATACTTGAAGTCGTTGTTTATCCACGTCTACGCCAACGGCGTTGAGTACACGCTCAACATCGTCAGCGGACGGTGCCATCGTCCCACCAAGCTGGAGCAAAAGATAAGCCGCTATGTATCTCATCTGACTCCAAACTCGTGAGCCTAGTTATAGCGAGTGTAATCAGGCTTAGACACTCACGATCTTGACGTATGGAACAGGTGTGAATACAGGGTTCGTCGCTACCGTGCATATATATCACACAGGTCTCGGAGCCGAGGACAGCGCGCATGGTTTCGTATCAGAAGGAGGTGTATTCAGGCTTGCAGACGCAGAGTCACAGTAACCACTCCCTGTGGCCGTTGCAGGGTCATGCGTGAGTAGATAGGTGGGTGTTCTTCACGAAGCATAGAAAGAGCAATCAGTCAAACATCCAGCAGCCGCCCTCTTCCGAGTCCTCTGAGTCAGAATGTACCTAAGCCGCAGCCAAAGGTCAGCGCAATCGGAAGGTATGCGGAGGTTCAGCTTTACCTCGACATCGTTGCTTTCGTTGAGATTGGCCGGCGGAGGCTGCCCCGGCGCATCCGGTATGCTCAACTGCGTGAAAGCCAACTTCGAGCTGCCCGCGTCAATGAGCTGAGCGACGTCTTTGCCGTCCAAAGCAGAGAGCAACCATTGGATTTGGCCACGATCTACCCCAATGCCGACTACGCCAAGAACACGTTCGATATCGCCAACCGAAGGCGTCGCGATGCCACCCAGCTGAAGAAGTAGGTAGGCTGCGATGTAGCGCATCTAATTACAGACACTCATGAGGCTAGTGAACGCAACGAGGATGAGGACGTGCTCACAGTTGTGGTGGAAGGATAAGCGCTGAGCGTTGTTGAGGACTTGGCGCGTATATAACACAAACTGGTCCTCGGGTCCGACGCCTGCGCAGCAGAGCTGCAGTGCAGACAGACTATGACGACCCGACGGACGTAGGGTACATCGCGCGCCATCGGGTAGTCTGGTCGGGAGTCACCTGTGGAGATGAGAGTCAATCTTGTCGTAGCATGATACTCGCACCCTATATCGAAGCCGAAGCAGACCGCGAAAAGATTCCGTGCAATAGGATGGGATTGTCACGATGCGAGGTAGATATGTATATCCGGGGGTAGTGACTATGAGATGCGATGAGGGGTGCAAGCGAGCGACGAAGCGTCTTCAAAGAGTCCGCTGTAACAAATCGAGAGAACTGAGGTCCGTTGTCCACAAGCCGAACAGATACGAATGTTCAGAGTCAGAGTGTGTCAGATGAGTACGTAGATCCCACAACGCTCGGCGCAACGCTGATTCCTTAGAGGAACAGCGCGCCGCCCAGCAGAGCCACACCAGCAACGAGCCATGCGCTGCCGGTGACGCTGCCGACCGAGCGGAAGCCGGCGGAAGAGTCATTCCCGCTACCACTTGAGCTGCTGCTGTTCGAGTTCTGGCTCGGGCCCGTACCGGCGAGCGCAGTCTCTCCCGGAGCTTCACAGTCGGGGAGGTTGAGCGACTTGAGGTTGCGCGAGCTATCGAAGAGACCCCAGAACGGCTCGGCACCGCCGAAAGAACGCTTCCAGCTGCGATAAAGAATGTCAGCGAACACGTCCGCAAGGACACAGTGAGGACACGCACTCCTCGTCGAAGAGTTCGAAGAAGAAGTAGCCGACACCCGTGGGGTCCTTGTTGGTAATGTTCGTGTTGGCGGCGCAGACGAAGGTGCTGCAAACAGCATGAGCTACGCGACTTAACCCGTCATACTGGAGCCACATACTCGATGAACTTCTGCGTGTTCTCCAGCGACGCAATGCTGCCGTTCAAGGTCAGGGAGCCACCAGAGATGGCGTCCGACGGCCAGCCAACCTCAGCGGAGATGAGCGTCTTGCCAGCCTCCGTGGCTGCCTTGGGCTCGTCATTGACCAGGAACTGGGCAGTCCAGTCCGCTGCACCGTCGATGTTGATTCCAGAGAAGAAGGCGTGCGTGTTGGCCATGACCTATGAAGCGATTTGAGCGGGAAGATAGGACGTTGTAAGAGTGCTTTTACGCACGTAGTCGGCAGCCTGGCTGAGGGTCGAGGTGATCTGCGAGCCGGCGTCGGCAGTACCGACAGGGAGCGTCTTGCTGTAGTTCTTGCTGGCGAGGGTCTTGCGGACATCGGCAATCCTTGCAATCACGTACTGCTCCGCAGTATCGTGGTTCGCAGGGTTGTCGTTGAACTGATTATAATATGTAAGCTATGGGAAAGACGGCAAATGTACAATAGACGTACCTGGCCCAGGATGTACTCATTTCCAACCTTTGATTGATCATTAGTCTACGCCCGAGACTCAAAGCACAAATGCACATACAGTGATACCGAGGATGTTGTCAACGCCGTACTTGTCAAGAGCAGCAAATAGGGCGGTCTGTTGGCGCTGGAAGACCTCGTCGGTACCATCCCTGAGGATACATGTGAGCCCAGTGCTGGGTGAAGTGTAGAAGAGTAACTTACAGGTAGATGCCCACGTAGACGTGCAGGTTCCTAGGCAGAATGTCAACGATCCATCCGGCCCACATTAAAAGTTTCAGATGTAGCGCACGTCTTTGTCCGCTGAATAGCGTCCAGGACAAGGTCAGTTTGCCCACAGTCGGCGCCGTACGACCGGATGCGGGTGGTGACTACAGCAACGATGATCAGTCAAGAGTAACAGCAATAACTCGGCGGCGAGACTGACGCTGTGACAAGAGCTGCATATCATGTGCAACCTCCTCGATCGTGTCGCCACAGGTCGGGTAGTTCGACGAGTTCTGCGGCGTGTACGCCATACCCCAGAACGACCGGTGCAGCCTCGAATCAAGCTTGAAGTCCGAGAAATCCGTAGAGTTGTCGTCCCGCGCGCTCAGCGAGCTCGCGCTAGCACCGGCGACGGCGGCCACCGCCAGCGTAAACAGAGACCCCAGCATTATTCAAGTTCCCAGTGTGTAATGTCCGATGATTTTGATGGTACAGGCGGTGAAGAGAGCGGCGGGTGTGATGGAGGTGCGGTGCGCGAGGCGAAGATGATGAGAAGGTGAGAGAAGAGGGCAAGAGCTCAGCGAAACGCGGTTCGAACTGGCCGCGGGAGGCGATGTCGGCCGGCGCCTGCATGTTGGGCTTGGCATGCAACCGCCACATGCTCACGCGACGCGTTTATGGGTCCAGGCAGGTCCATAGCATACCAGTATCCCTGGAGTTCCTTCACATACGTTTGAGCATACATATATGCGCTCGCAGATACATCAGTCGAACCTGTAGAGCGCTCGATTGGGCCAAGGCATGGGACCAAGGACGCGAAGAAAACTACGGCGTCGCCAAGATGAATCCGCAGTGAGACACGGCGCCGCATACAGTTCAGCCAATTCATATAGCCGCTGGCGTCGTACCTCTTCTGAAGGCATACACTACCTGTATACCAGCCATGGTCGTCGTATAAAGACAAGCTGAGGTGGTGCGCTAGCACATCCCGCTCGATCTGGCGCGCAGCACTCTCAGTCTAAAAATACAGAACCTCCAACATCAACAGGTTCCAAGAACAGGCGACATAACATGCATTAAGCCAGACCAAGGGCAACACAGACTAAACTACAGCGACGATAAGATAAACTGCGTACTATAAAGCAAAGCAAGAAAAGAGATCGCGACAGACAGACATACTACTCGATACCACTCAAGAGACTGAGTCAAAACATACGAGAATAAACCCAAGGTCGATGGCGAGCGAGGTCATTGCCCGACCTCGCCCACCTTCGTCAGCGCCACCCTCCGCTTCTTCTTCGGTGGCTCGCTAACCGTATCCGTCGAAGCGGCCTCCGTAATCGTAGACATGCTCACGGACGCGGCAGATGCGATATCGCCGCCTACGGAGCTCGCGGGCGTCAGCGGCGGGTCGTTCGCGCGCTTCGCGGGTACAACGGCCGGCGAAGCCGACGGCGGCTGTGAAGTGGCCGGCGGTACCAGCGCAGGCGAGACGGAAGGAAGACCGACGCTGGTGACGGAGGGCGTCCCGGCGGGCGTCATCGCTGTCGTCGATGTTGTGACGGGCAACGAATGCGCGTGTGCCACGGCCTGGAACTGCAGAGCCGGCTGTTGCGTATGATGTGCCGGGATGATATCGTCGAATACTACCAATGTACAGTATCCATCGCGGGAAGCGAGGATGAGGCACTGACCATCGGGGGACCTGGATGGTGATCAGTCGATGTTTGTGGGAGCTGCACTCGGGAGTATCTATGAAGGCTTACCACGACATATCAGTGAACTCGTCGTAGTGCAGCTTCGTCAGGATACACATCGGGCCGGCCTGTTGTGTATCGTGAATGGCGATCGTGTCCATGGTCGCGACCGCGAAAAGCATGCGATATGGCAGCGCAAATACCGAGCTCGTATTCGTCGTGGCGCTCAGCGCACCCGTCGACGGCGCCGGTGTAGGCGGCTTCGAGATCGTTGGCACGGGGCTGAATGCGCGCAGTGACATCGAATCACTAGCCGAGAGCGCGGGCGAAGGAAGTGTGAGTGCAGATGGTATCTGCGCTAGAACAGGCGCTGGCATGGCAAGCGGCGCTAAGACCGTATGTTTCGTCGGCGACGAGATGGGCGTGATGTCGAGCAGCGCTGGAGTCGAAGTGCCCGTGCCCGTGCCCCTGCTCGACGAGGCGCCGATATCCACAGATACGGTCTCCTCGCGTCCCCTCTCGACCGCAACATGCTTCGTCTCAACTTGCAAGTCACCACTCGAAACGCCCTGCCTCAATTCATACAGGATTGGTGAGAACTTGACGGCAATGCTAGCCTTCTTGTGACCAGGGAGCTGCGCCACCGGTGAACGAGCAAAGCTAGCACGCGAGTAGATGAGCACTGAAGAGCTCGACGCGAAGCTACTGGGCTCGGACGGGTGCAGAGCCGATGAACCCTTCCGCCCACGGCCGTTCTCTTCTTTCTGACGTGACGTCGAGGGCGGCACAGCAGGATCTTCTGACTGCCCGGCCGGCGTCAGAAGAAGCGCGCCGTCTGGGCTGAAAGATAGGCGCCGGAAGAAATTCGTGAAGCTCTCGTCGCCGTACAATCGCGATGTCCACGTCTGCGGCGACGCGCGGATGGCGGGCAAAGCCGGCGCAGGCGACGGCGAGCGCGCGTATCTCGAGCTCGCATACAGCGCCGGCGAACTCGGCGCATTGGACCCGCTGAATGATGATCGTCTCGAAGACGGCCTGTCGATCGGAGGAGGTGGAAACATGGCCTGCGAAGGCGTGCTGGCAACAGAAGGTGTTGGGGTCGCGACGGAAGGTGCCGGCGTGATCAGAGCAGGATGCGTGTTGGTCGAATCCTCTCGCTCTCGGTGAGGCTGCTCCGAGATCGATGTGATGACAGACTCTGTGTCACTGGCGGTCGACTCGCGGCGATAGATGCGGGGTCGAGATGGTGTCCGTGAGTGCGAGGGTTGATGCTGGTGGGTCATGCGAGCATTCTTGCCTACGGCGTGTACCTCAAGGGCGCCGTGCTTGTGCGAGATTGAATGGACGTGCATCGAGCGATCGCTGGACTGGGTAGCGATGTACTCGTTCAGCGGATCCCAAGCTACGCCCTGCACATAATGATGGTGCTCGGCTATTTCGGTCATGCATTTGCCTGTTTGGCGCGTAATCAGCATAAAGTCAGGTGTGCTCTGGGCGTGAGTCTATACCGTCTACAGAAAACACGCGAGCGACGTTATCCGTGCTCCCGGTCAGGATGTACTCTCCCGAGGGACTCCATGCAAGATCGTAGACCTGCATTGTGGTGCATCTGAACATGTCATATCAGCTATTGAACCCGAAGCGAAGGTGACGCGGGTAAGAGCGCAGATCGATGTCAGTGACCTCTCCGCTGCTGTCACCGATGCGGCCGGTGGCGTAGCGCCGAGAGATACGCGTCAAATAACCATACGCTACCCCAGGACGTATCGCAAATAGAGAATAGACGTACTTGAACGTCGTGCGGGGTCTCCAGTACTCCTTCTCGAACTGGACCTCTTCGGCATCACTGCCGTAGGCCGCCTGGTTGGGAGCGGTGGACGCGTGCCAGATAATGATCATGCCATCTGCGAGAGATAATTCCGACGGTCAGCCGCCGAAGCACACGTCGGGCGCGAACATACGCACCGTCGCCGGCTGACGCGATCAGTTCGCCTGCGGAACCAGAGGTCAATCTCCGGGGAGCGTAATAGGCGCGCAGGGAACGCACCGTTCGGGCTGAAGCGCACGACATTCACCGCCGCGGTGTGTCTGGAAAGTGTGGCGAGATATTCGACCCGTGGCGGCCGTGGCTGGGCGGGAGCCTCGCCCGCGCCCGACGCGCTCTCCGCGAGCGCGGTCGGCATCATGTTCGGGTGCACCATCCACAGCTGGGCGCGATTTCCCGCGTCAATTTCTGCCAGTTTGCCCCGTAGACGCCGCAGGACACTCACCCGCACATGGTTGTCCTCTCCGGCAGTCGCCAATCGATACGACTGCCGCGCGAACGCTCGCAGGTCAGTCTGCGCGGGCCGCGCCTTCTTGTAGCCTATGGGTTGAAAGTCACAGCTCGCAATCGGCTTGCCGTCGTGCCAGCGGATCTCGAGAGTCCGGACGCGCATCCTAGGGCGCAGAGTAGTGGTGGTCAGACGATGAGTTGAAAGGGATGTTCGATTGTGAGGTGAGAACACCCCCTCTCTCGACCACTGAACGGAGTTGGCCGAGACTCACGCGCCACGCGACCTTGTGCGCATCGTCCAACTCTATCTCTACTGATTACTCGCGCGCGCGCGGTGGCTATCTAACGCACAACATTCGCCAAACAAAGCAAGCGCGAGCTACTGTACACGGGTGCTGAGAAACAGAAGAACCAACATCTCGATCCCATTCAACGAATCGTGCTCCCCCGAAGCGTCTGTGAGAAGCTCTGCATAAGCTCTGACTCTTTCCCAGTCTCCTCCACCTCTTCGACACCGTAGATCACCCGCACGTCGCGCTGGGCCTGCTTCACGATGTTTGTGACGTGTGCGAGGCCCGCCTGCTGGTCCCTCAGAATCTAGACAAGCACCATCAGATAAAGTGCTCAAAACGCCACCAAGTTCTTAGCCTCACCTGAACAAGCCGGGCCAGACCATCTTCATCGACAACAGCCCATTGCGTCTGCGCCGCACCCCGTGCTGCCTTAAGAGTCCCCAAAAGGGCCCACAGCTCGTTCATGCGGCCGACAACGCGCCCCGTGCGGAGTGCTTCCTCCGCTTCCTCCAACTTCGCCCGTAGCGCCTCTTCCTCGGGGCTCAGCGCAGAGGCACGCAGCGCGGGAATGAGCAAGTGTAAATGTTGTACAAGTGCGAGCAGTCTACGCGCCAGCTGCGCTTGGGCGTTTACCGCGGCCGCGAGCCGAGGAGCGTTCTTTAGCGCGTGAGCGTCGGATAAGCCCGCTAACCTCTGGCGAAGCTCGCCCAGTTTCTCTTGGTGGGCGATGGACTGCGCCGACTGGGCGTCGACGCGCTTTTGCAGGTCGTCGAAGCTCGTCGCGAGTACGGGGACACGACTGTGCGTGGATTCTATTTAGAGAATGCTTATGCTGAGATTGGATGGGACCGCCCACCATGATGGATCTGGATTCTCTCGCACGGCACGCTGCCAAAGAGCCTCGTCATGGGGAACGTTGGGTCTGCCATATTGATGAACTGTTGAAGGCTCGACAAGGTTATAGAAGTAGTGCTGTCGTGTGCACAGTTAGTTGGCAGTTCATATCGGAAGAAGCCGTATTGGATATACCTGGAAGCGATTCTGAGCAGAGGTTGGGTTCCATGATGCCACTATACGTTCTATACGTGCTTGAAGTTGAGTGAATTGAGCTTGCGCGTCAACATGTTGCTGTGCAGGAGTGGATGCCGTCGACTTCGATGCAAAGAGTCCAGGCGCCGTTGACCCGAATAGCGGCCCTACGTATGACTGAGCGAGACGTATCAAGAACGAAGAGCGAGAGTTGTACCCTGACTTGAGCCAGCGTTCGCTGCAGTACTCGCGTTGCCGCCAAACAATCCGCCGCCACCTTGAGCATTACTCGTAGAAGCTCCTGCGGTGCTTCCGAAGAGCCCTCCGCCCTGTGCCGGTTGCGCATTATTCGTAGAACCAAATAAACCGCCACTAGCAGCCGGTTGCGTGTTGTTTGCATTCGTAGAGCCAAACAATCCTCCACCACCAGCAGGTTGCGCCGAGCCGAACAAACCTCCCGTGGCAGCAGGTTGGCCCGTAGAATTGTTGGCGCCGAACAAGCCACCGCCCGCCGCGGGTTGTTGTTGCTGTTGTTGATTCGTACTCCCAAACAAGCCTCCGGGTTGCGCAGGTTGAGCAGTGTTGGTGCTACCGAAGATACCGCCGCCAGTCTGCTGCCCAGTGTTCTGGTTCGCGTTGTTCGCGCCGAATAGGCCACCCGTCGCAGGCTGAGTAGAGGCGTTGTTTGCGCCGAATAAGCCACCACCCGTGTTTGTCTGCCCTGCGTTATTGCCAAAGAGACCGCCTGACTGACGTGTGAGACATAGAGTCAATCACTACATGAACGGTGTGGCGTACCGGTGTTCCCTGGTTGTTGTTGTTGTTGGTTCTGCTGGTTCTGGTTCTGACCGAATAGACCGCCTGCCATAATACATAAGGTTCGCATCCACGAACATACTGAGATGAAGACGCACCTGTACCCGTCGCCCCTTGTGCTTGATTCTGAGTGTTTCCGAACAAGCCGCCACCCGCGTTCGTATTCGTGTTTGTTCCTCCACCACTCAAGCCTCCAAACAGACCACCACTCTGGCCGGGCTGTTGCGCAGGTTGTTGTTGCTGTTGTTGTTGCGCATTGTTGTTCCCGAATAAGCCGCCTCCACCGAATGCAGACATGATGAGACCGAGCGGATGAAGTTGAAGCGGTTATTTGGTCGTGATGGAAGCAGAACGAGAAATCAATACAGCAGGTGCGCCTCCCAGCAGCAAGATGAGGCAAAGCAGACGATACAGACGCCAAATACCGAGAGTATAGAGCTTTTGGCAGTGGCAGTCGAGAGCAAACAACTGACTTGACGCGTCTTTGACGCGCGCCTTGATCTCTACGCGTCGACGCGCGCACACGAACACACCTGACTCGCGGAGCCAAATCCTCGTACTGGCATGCGCGTGGCAGACACATGGGACGCACGCGAGCCGCCGAGCCGGCTCTTCCGTGCCGCGCCTTGCTCTCAGACGTCGACGTCTTCCACGAGAACCGCCCACGAACGCTTCGATTTGCCGTAGTCGTCCAGTTTCATGCCAATACATGCTCTCCGTATGGCCTGCTATCTCCCTGTGCTTGAATGATGTGCTGTCGTAGTCAGTATTGTATGCAGTGCAATTGCACGGACCGCTGAGGCGCCGACGCACGCGGCGGCCGAGCCGCAGCCTCGATCTTATCCGCCGAACAAGGGCCCCTGCGGTCCTCGAACAGATCCAGCGCCGTCCAGCCTTCAATTAGCGCCATGTCTGTCTCGTCGCACGACCACAGGATACGTTCCAGACGAGTTCGCGATCTCTGCACCTGAGGCCTTTGCGCCACCTCGGGGGATGTCGTCCCGAGGCCTCCCTGCCCGTGCGCGTATAAATCCTAGCTACGCCGCTGGCCTACCCCGCCATCAGCACTCCTCAGCCGATATCGCCTACTCTCCTACTCCTCTACATCTCGCCTCGATCAGCCAAAATGTCTACGGGTTTGCGCTACATCAGGAAACACTTCTTCGCCATTGAGGCTCTGCCCATGTACGCATCTTCGCCGAGCTTCGTTGGTGACGATCATCTAATCCGGTGCTCAGTGTCGGCATCGTCAGCGTTGTCTGCGGAGGCGGAAGCTGGTACCTCTACAGGATTTCCCAGGGCCCTAACAGTAAGTCCACAACATGCGATCCTAGCGTCGCTCGAGCTCATCGTTCTCCAGTCGTTTGGACCCGTGCCAACCCTCAGCCCTGGAACTCCATCAAGGAGGATGAGACGCCGAAGATCATGACTATCCACCAAGCAGCCAAGCATGGGTTCGTTCTCCAACCCTCCACACACGATTACTGTGTCTAACGCTTTTCATCAGGTGGCATCGCGAGAAGCTATAGATCTGCCTTGCGCATCTATATCTATCCATTGCTCTCAGCGATCCGCTCTCCTCCAGATCTGCACCATCACTATTGAATCTCCCACATGTATTTTAGTATCTCTCCTTGGACGTTCTCTGTGTACTATACCCGCTTGTTTCTCAATGAATACGATAAATTCAACTACAGGCCAGATTTTGAGTCGAAGCTACCACCGGTGGCATAGCGTGAGGTTCAAGACGGTTTCAAGTTAAAGTTAAGTAGTCCGTGAGCTAAACACATTTGTAGACGTACTGTACAGGCGAACCAAAAGTATTGTAGACGCGTTAGACTCGCGGCCCGCGACGCGCCGTCGCGCCGTCGCGTCATTGTTGATGCTTCTCCGCTCCGAGTCCTTCTGAACCGTCATGCAGACCGCAACAAGACTTGTCTCCTGCCGTCGCGCACCCACCTTTATACACAGATCTGCCACCGCCAGTACTATTCCATTCAGGACCATGTCTTCCGGTGCTGCGAATCTGACTGCTCCAACCACACCATCGGTCAAGCACAAGTTCGTGGTATGGGCGCCCGACCAGGCCGACGCCCTTACGCGCCGTCTAAGCGTACGCTCTTCACATCTGGAGACGGCTGGGAAGTTGAAGCAGGACGGGATACTCCGTACGTGTCGCTATGCCCTGGATACGTGAACTGCACTCATATTGCGATCCAGTGTACGGCGGTGCAATGCTCACCCCGGAGTCTGTCGCAGCCATCCAGCCTTCTGAAAAGAAGATGACAGGATCGATGCTTCTGTTCGAGGCCGAGAGCATAGATACGGTCCGCGAGCTTGTCGAGAAGGATGTTTACTACGTGAACAATGTGGTGCGTTGCTGCCACGCTAGTAAGCCTCGGGCATTGTCACTTATGCCCGGTTTAGTGGGATACGCAGAAGATCGTCATCGCGCCGTTTGTTGGTGCCATGCCCTGGCCAGCGAACTGAGCTGGCGATACTCATAAGAAGCCCAAGTTTGTACCATAAGAAGGCGGCCAGATACTGTTGCCCTACCGCTGTATGTTACGGCCGAAATCTCCGATGAAGCATGCTGCTTTGAACTCGATTACAAGAAAGCCCGGTGGTCGGAGATCTACTAAGAAGTACAGGAGCCCTACAACTACTCCGCGCGCCCGCAATACTACTTGCACAGCCTTTCTTCCTGATCAGATCCGGAACCATACCTTGCCACTTCGCGAGGATGACTTACTACTTTGTGCCTCAACCCGCAGCGCAGAACCGTCAAGATCTTCGTCCGATCCACTCGTATAAAAGTGGGCGCTCATCCAGAATGCCGCCCACCATCTCACCATGACAGAGTCGCCCTTAGCAATCATCGAAGACACCGGTGTGCCATCTGGCGCGGAGAGCGCGCACAAGGTACTTGTTCTCGTGCACGGTTTGGCGTTTCAAGGCAGTACGTTACTTATATCCTTCGAAGGGCAGACTATCTCACTGATTTGCACCTAATACAGCTGTCTTCCGACCCCTTTTGCCTTATGCTCAGACGCATAATGCGCGTGTCATCGTGGTCAACAGACGCGAATATCCTGGGTCACAACCTTTCACACAGGACGAGCGCAATACTCTTCTCAATGCACAAGGAGACGGCACCTCCGCAGCAAAGGACGCTCAGAACTTCTCGGCTGCTCGCGCCGATGAACTTCTCTCATTGCTTGAAGGCATCGTGGAGAAAGGCGACGTGCCCCGGCAGAGTATCATCCTAGTCGGCTGGTCTCTGGCTGCCGTATTCATGACGTCGCTTCTCGCGCGCCCGCCTACAGAAGCAGGTCGTATTGACGTTGGTCAGTACATGCGCCGGGTAGTGTTATACGGTGAGTACTGGATTGGCTTTATAGGCATGTCAAAGAATACTTACTGTGTATCTTGCGGCGACAGACACCGGTTACCAGATACTTGGGTTCCCAAATCCAGCTCCCTCTCTGTACAACCCTTTCGCAGACCCTTCCACTGCCCCAGAGGAAAAGGGCGCCGCATTCTTCCACTACATCACCGGATACTATGCGCACGCCATCCCGCACACTCCAGGCATACAGGTCAAAGACATTATCGACGGCCTTCACGACCGCAACCCGAAGAAGAACACAACCTTCACTCCGGAAGAGCTGGCCACCGTCCTATACCCTCCACCCTCCGACGTCGCAGCAGGCGGCGCCGACATTCTAGCCTTCCTCGCCGCCGAAAAGCACGGAGTCCTGGCAGGTGCGCGCGAAGGTGCGCTCCGAGGCGAGCGCTGGCCGCACGTCGAGCTGCGCGCCATCTGGGGGGACGCGTCGTTCTGGGAGGGATGTGTCGCGGGCATCGAGTTTGGCCGGCTCGTGCATGAGAACGCGCACGCGCCGGCGGATGGCGGGATCGGGCGTCCTGCGACGGTCGTGCGCTGGAACGGGTCGAATCACTTCGTGAGCTCGCCTTGCTTGCCATTCAACTTAAGCCTTACTCACACTCGTCTGCAGGCTCATTGGGATCACCCAGAGCGCGTGCTATTGGGTCTTTTGGAGGACGGCGTCGACGATTGGGCGGTGGTACCCTCCTAATGTTCTTCTTCCTAACAACAATGCTATGAGTACTGGTTGTGACTCAGTGCGCGGTCTCACTGTCCACTATGGCATATGATTGTAGCGCGTGTGAAGGCAACCCCCGTTTGGGTTAGGGTTAGGGCGGGCCGCGACGTAGTTCGCCCTAGTGCGCCCAGCAGTCCTCACATGGCCATGCCTGGGCAGTTCTTCCGCTTGAATCGAGCTTCCGCACTCGTTTCTTTCCTACGCATCTCACGAGATGTGCATATAAAGATGGATGGTATCGTTGACGCGAATAGGATCTCATCCCCTGCCGATGCATGCCCATAGGGTTTAGGTCCTTGAACGAACACCATCTCACAATTTCAGTTCGACTTCGGCATGAACGCCCACCCTCTCGCTATCATCGAGGATACTGGTGTGCCGGCCGGCGGCGCAGATTCGCATAAAGTGCTCATCCTCATTCATGGCTGGGGGTTCCAGAGCAGTAAGTTGACCCCAGCTTCGCATTGACATCGCCGCTCACACTGTCCTTGTAGGTGTGTTCACGCGCATGGCGCCATTCGCCCAATCTTACAATGCACGCCTCATCCTTGTCAACCGTCGCGAATACCCAGGAACCGACCCGTTCACGAAAGACGAGCGCGATCTCCTACTGGAAGCGCAACAGACTGACGAAGTCGGGGCTGCCGCCGCTAAGGATGTGTGGACCGCTCGCGGAGAGGAAGTACTAACATTGCTAGAGAGCATCGTTCAGCAGGGAGGTGTGCCTGAACGAAGTATCATCTTGGCGGGCTGGTCCTACGCCGGACTCTGGATGACTTCTCTTCTATCTCTTCCACCTGCTGTCGCGAACCGTCACGATGTCGGACGCTACATACGACGCATAATCTGCTATGGTCAGTCTAACCTCGATCGTGTACGATACGTTTCTGACCTCGCTTATGCCCGATTAGATACCAGCTACAGACGGCTTGGATTCCCGGATCCCGCCCCGTCGATGTTCAGCCCATTCACAGACAAGTCGATCGCACCGGAAGATATACGAGACGCATTCATCCACTGGATCACCGGATATTATTCACATACCATTCCTCGTACCCCTGGCGTGCATGCCAGGAGCATCGTCGATGGGCTGGAGCAGCGAAACGTGAAGAAGAGGACATTATTCACAGACGATGAGCTGAGAACTGTGGTAGTTGATGCGCCTGCTGACGTTCCCAGCGGCGGGCCGGACGTTCTCGCGTCCGTTGCTGCAGGGAAGCATGGGATACCTGCCATGAACCTGGATGCAGCCTTGCACAGTAAACATTGTTCGCACGTGGAGCTACGCCAGGTCTGGGGAGACGCATCTTTTTGGGAAGCCTGCGTCGGTGGCGTCGAAGTTGCCCGGCTGGTGCACGAGGACGGGAAACTTCCGAAGGGAAAGCTCGGTCGCCCTGTGAGCTCTGTGCGCTGGATCGGAGCAAATCACTTCGTACGTATTATGATATACCTCGTCGCCCACGGCTCACACGAATATTCATAGGCACATTGGAACTATCCCGAGCGCACACTGCAAGGTCTCCTGGAGGATGATGTCGAAGACTGGGTGATAACTTCTTGAAAGCGATACGTCTGGATATAGGCCAAGAGCTGGCAAATTGAATGATTGGAATAAGTTACAACAATGTACGTGCTCCGGTTTCCGTTCGTCATCGAAGAACAAATATAATCCGCGAAAGAGGCACAATCAATGTCCAAAGAGCGTATGAAACTTCTATTCATGCTCATCAATAAAGCGTGGGACGGTCTATAGAGTCCGCACTCACTCCTAACTCGCCTGTCTGGACTTGATAGCATCGGACAGCAGCTGCCAAGGGCAGCGCTGCGGTCTTCGTATCCGCCACGATGACAGGCTCGACGACCTCGAGCGCTTACCCTCGCTTGAGGCTGTCAGGCTTGTGCTGTCGTCCGAGCTCGACGAGAAGCTCTGTTTGCGCCTGAGGGGTTCAAGCCGAACATGGGCATATTGCCGTTCCGCGCTCCGCCGACGTTTTGCCTCGACATGGTCGCGTTCGTCTTGGTACGAGACGCTGGATAGCTCGACGACTGCGTGACCCTCCATCCACTGAGATGCGAGCTGGTATGCCTGCAGTATGGTCCATCCCAAGTAACCTCCGCAAGATCGGCACACCATAGCCCGCACGGTGTACCACCCGCCCTCCATCTGGAGCGGTTTCCGAGGATTGTCGGCCGCCGCAGCGTCCGTTACATGTCGTACGAGCATGGCCGGACCATTGAAGCCGGCTACATCCTAGAGCAGTATGAGGGTCATGACAACATACAGAAGCACAGACAGGACGCACGCAGTGAAGGACGTGCTTGGTAGTGGTAACCTGCGTGTTGCAGACTCTGCAGCCGAATGTACGGTAGGCCTTGGCTACAGGAGTGGCTGGTCGAGGCATGGTAATAAATATGGAACAGCGAAGAAGCAAAGGAAAGAAGATAAGGATCGCCAAGGGCCAGCCGGCCTGTGCTAGACTGCGCGGAGAGACAGATCCAGAGTAGCCCGCATCCGTGTATGCGCCATATATACACTTTCACAGCGACCGCGCGGAGACAGTAGAGCCCAGATAGCAGTGGCTACTCTATATCCATGATCGACGGCGGGTCCGTACCCGATTGATGAATCCTTACTGCGAACTTGGCGTTGCATACATACAGTGCCGCCGGGTAGGAGCCGGTGTGAACCCGTACAGGGAAGACGGACGCGCATATACCGCCCAATAGCACCTCATGATGATGCTTTTTTGCAGCGTACCGCCGCCGGCGCAAGCAAGCATCCTCAAAGAGATAGCATGGATCACAAAGAAGGATGCTGCGCGCGCGCTTTCATTGGCGGGGGACGACCCGCCGGAGCGGATAACACGTACTGCTTCGTCCGGCATATCAGGGAGATATGAAGGCAGACTGCGATGTGGTGCAAAGAAATCGAATCGGCGCCTGAACGAGAGTTGACGCTGAAGACGTCACACGCACAATGAAAAGATCATCTTGCGGAGGAAGCCGCTGGGGATCGAGATATGAGATTGACAAGCTACCCGTGTAGCGGCGTATTACAGGTGTAGTACAAGCATAGCATAGCATGTCGACAACAAGGCGGATACAGTGAGAGCATTATGGACTAGAGAGCGCTTGAAGAAGGTGCGGATCGCCACGGTGATAGTTCATGCGCCCGGGAGAGAAACCGAAGGAAAGCACGTAGAAGCCCAGAATCAAGAATGGGACGTAAGTAGGCCTGTCAGGGGTTACATAAGCTGTCACAGCACTGTGAGCGCACAACACGGCCACGTACGGGGATACTGTCATGCAAATGAGGTATGTTGTCGTTCGCTGTCCTTGCGACGCTCCTCCATGCGCTACAACGTATCATAATGCAGTCAGCAGCGAGTTGCACGCAATATGCCGCTTGCAAGATCGTACCTGGATATAGATATATGTCAAGATGATTTCGTCCACATCGTCAAAGCAGGTCTCGAAGATCGTGACGTGTGGGGGTCGTCGTTTGCCAAAAAGACTGGATGAGCCGCTGGATGACCTAAGGACTACGGTATCGTCATCGCGCACGAGCTGGTTTAGGTATCAGTAGTGGTCATATGGAAAAGACAGATGCACAGACCTCTAGGCATTTTCTCGCTGGTGTCCATGTGTATCTACGCCCATGTCGCGATACGAACGAGCGTATCCTGCCGCAGTCTGGCGATAAACATCCGCTACATACATAGCAAGGAGAGGTGGAACGGTCTACGTACCTAGACATGGATCCTTGCCTGGGCAAATAATCGTCTATGGATCGGCTTTCTCCGTCGCCGGTGCAAAATACAGTCCGTCCAACGCTGCGCCATTCGATAATCCCGACCATCACCGAGAGCGAAACGCCAGTGTCTTTGTCGCTTTTGATCCTCGATAGCGTCGATGTACCACCAGATGCGCCAGACGGCGTGTGGGTAATGATGCGAAAGACAGTCGAACCATTTGCGTCTCTCAGGTCGATAGAAGGGGTCGCCGTGATTGATGGCGCCGAAAGATAGAGATCCAGAGAAGCAGGCATCCAAGCTTTCAGGAATGCGGGGGACAAACCACGAATGCGGGGTGCGGGGTAAAAGGGAAAGTACTGCGCGCGTTCGTTAGGAATACGTGTAGATCGTATATGTAGTGTGGAGCCCAGAGCCTAGTACTGAGCGCCGACTTCCTAAGTCGAAGCCCAAACGGCGGCGCCTCGGGCACGCGCCAGGGCGATGCTGATGGTCGCGCAAACCTTGTCAACGAGGACAGTCTCATGTGAACGTCTGCATTCGCGCCATGTAGACTTGCATGACGCGCAGCGAGAGGAACAGGCTCAATTGCGTCTCTGCCATTGTGGTGGAGAGAGATGAGCTTGCGGATGAGCTTATATCGTTGGGGAGGGCATGTCAGGCGACCTGAACCGCTCCAGTATATTCAACAAAGGTTCCACTTCGTCATCTCCTCGTCTCAAACCCCGATTTGTCTCGTGCAAGCGCCGTGAAAGGCCCCTTGAAGATCATCAGATGGAGGAAGACAGCGTTTATAACCGGGCTTCTCACAATCGGAGGTCTCGGCCGCCCCGCGTCAAACGCGTTGGCATATCCGTACTTGTCGCGTATTCGAGCATCGAGTCAAGTATATACTGGTTAGAGCTTGAGCTGACAGCGGGATGCGATCCCAGTGGTCTTTGTGCGGGTGCGAGTTCCCGTAGACTCCCATGGAGTGCCTGATAGAGACAACGCTTCGCTGGATAGGAAGCCATCCACGCGCACGGGGCGTGAGCGTGAGTCGGTATATGGTATGGTGTTGGGATCGGGCTAGATATGTACACAGACAAACATCAGGAGCGACAGGAAGTATAGCGAGCAAGTCTAGAGTCTTCAATAGGTCCAGAGGCCAGCGGAAGGACGGCTTTGATGAAATTCAGTGCAGGCGAACATCGTTCGTCGCTTGAGCTCCGAGCGCGCGCCTAGCTGTCCTCAGTCCGCAGTATCTTGCGAGGAAGGGGATGGCGTAAAGCCTCTTCCAGCGAGTCTTCGTCCATGGTCAATTGTTCTGCGGAGACAGATCTTGATCGTCTGTGAGTTGAGTAGCTCGGCGGCGAATGTAGATCAAGGTTGATAGAGTATGTTGACGGACTGTAGGAGGTCAATCGATGCGCATTCGATCATGGTTGACACTTACGGAGAACTCCGAGAGCCTGGGCTCGGCTCGGGGGTCTCAAATTCGAGAGTAGATTCGTCAGCCCTGACTTCAAGTCGGACTCGTCGTCTCCATCCGATCCTCTTCGCGAACGCCCAGAACGTGCGTCGGTATGCCTTCACGGCTTCCTCGCCAGTTCCGAAGAGTGCCACGAAGGCCAAGCCGAGTATCAGCCCAGACACTTGCGCGAAGTAGATGGTAAACCGGGTCGAGGTGCTGCTCTGCCAGTCTTTGGCATATTCAGTACGCGGATTCCAGTTTCGGTGTAGCGTAGGCCAGTCCGGGAACCAAGGCAACGCCTCCCTTCCGCTTTGCATGAGAGCTTCGGCTAAGACGACAGCTCCTATCGGTAGGGTGATCAAGATATCGATGCATGCGATGAATAGAACGCGCATATAGCGGGCGCGATCGATCTCAGGCAAGACGGGTAAGACGACAGTCATCTGACCACTGTGCGACCATAGCTCCCGTATGATACCGGCTGAAAGTGTCCTGTGAGATACTGCCACAAAAATGGATGGCAGCGGGAACTCACGGCAGTACTTCACGATGGAATATAGAGGGAGCGCAACGGGCCAGGTGTGCACGACGCACAGCGTCAGTATCGTCCCGTCCATGGTCGGCGAGCAGCCCACGTTCTCAGTAATAAGGTATCGGCAATCCTGTACCGTAGTGTCTGGGCTAATCAGCCAGGGGCACAAGCCAGAACAACTGAAGCACGCACATAACATGATGATTATGACGGGAAGTCCGACTCCAATAAGTATGTTAAGAAGCAGCTCCCTTTGTTTCTGTAGCTCCCATATCAGCACTGTTGTATAGAATGGGTGTCACGCGACCTGTACCTCCTTCCTGGTCAACCGCTCGGGGGAATACAACTGGGTTACACGGTGCAGTTGGCGAGTGATGATGAGCGAGCATGCGGGCTGGCCTCCAAATAAACTGCCGACGACCAGGTGTGTAGCTGATTGGGTGTCAGATGTTGTGATGCAATTTGGAAGAGGCAAGTCTACGCACATATGTCACACCAAACAGGCGCCAGGTCCTCCGCGTTATCGCGCCAAACAATGCCCTCGACGCCTCTGATGAACGTCCGCACCATCACCCAGCCTCCCAGTAAGAATACACCGACGTTCCATGCCTGCGTGATAAGGAGTGAGCCCTCTAGACACAGTGTGCGAGGGCAGTTCCCTGACCTTGCGGAAGCTGATGGAGATAAGAGTCAAGCAAATAAGCGCCGTCGTGAACAGGTTCAGAATGGGTATCAGCGGGTATATCGGGTCCATGGCGAGGGGAACGCCAGGACATCGTCGGCTGAAGCAAGATAGGTAAGCGAGGCGACCATTGAGCCCGAGCTCGTCGTGGTCGTGTTCGTGAGCAAGCCGCTAGTCGCACACCCTCCGGGTCCGCCGGCCCCGCGTCACCGATTGAATGCATAATTAGCACTGCGTGCCCTAGATCTATGATGTAGGTTTATTGCTCACTTCCGGTGCAAGCCAGCACCTTGACATTGAAAGGGGTCGTGTTGCTACGGAAGATCTACACGATAGGCTTGTACAGGCAAGTGAAATAGTATACAGCGTAGGGGAAGTTCATGTGGGTCGCGGCGGGTGTCGCGTTTATCCGCTCGCAGCAACGGCACCACCAGCCGTGGCGCCAGCCATGGCAGCATTGGTGTCTTCTGCCAACTTTGAGAAGTGGTATACCATGACGAGGATAATGTCATCCTTGCAGACTGTCAGTCGAATCTCTTCAGTCGACAAGAGGTTTCGCCTTACCAGGTCATTCAAGATCTCCGGGTTGCTTAGCTGCAAGTAGGCAGCGTGCGCTTGGCTGAAGAAGCCGTGAGACTTATTGTGCCAGCGACCGGCTTCGATGCCGTTGGAAATGTAGAGCTACAATAGGCAGCCGCGGTGTCAGGGTGGTGCGCGCAGAGCGATACGACGCTGGAAACTTACAACGCCCTCTTTCCAGTAGTAGGCTCGACCAGATGCTCCAGTGAAGTCGCGCTTTCTACGAACAAGTCAATACAGCTTCTAACCACAAGAGATGTTACGCACTCTGTCCAAGCACCGTGCTTGTGAATCAGGCTCTTGGCTTTGTGTGTCTGCCCCCGATAGGTGATCTCATCGTCGTGTAGATTACGCCAAGTGATCCCAGCAATGACTACAGGCTGTGGGCCGTTGGGACCTTGGGGTACGAAGCGTGCAATGGTCGTCTTGCTCTTCGTGAAGGACGATTCCGTAGTGATGCGGTAGATGGTGTACCCATTGCTATCGACAAGATCTGCCCTTGTGACGTCCGAGCTTGCTATAGGGATGCATCAGTAGGTGCGAGTTGAGGTAGATTCGAGCAACGCACTTGAGTAGAGCTCCATGATGATTCTGGTAACTTAGTACGACGGGCTGGGGGTGAAGAGCGTAGGAGTGGGTGTGGTGCAGCACAGCGAAGAGTAAATGGGCCGCTGGAGGGATCGTATGGAAGAGATGCTCCCAAGTGCTCCCAAGTTCTTATACGAGCCCCAAGACGAACATTCCGTCGAGCGCCGAATCAGGTCGAAGACGGATGGGCGGTGTCGTGCCGATCACATCTTTTCATCCAAAACAAAAGGGGTTCGATGGTCAGGGCACCGAGACACCCGAGTACGGGCTGCACAAAAAGGACAAGGGCACGTAGGCGCTTTGGTATTCGTTCGATGCTAGTAACGTCCTGGAAGTCGGAGGCAGGGTGAGCGTCGAGCGACGCACGAGCTCATGAATGATGACTAAAAGGTCATTACATACCGTCTGACACGTGTGTCGCGCGCGTCATCGAAGCACGGCCCAAAATCAACACTATTCTAACGCATGAGTCGATACAAAGGCATGGGGGCTATGAGTAGTGTACAATGTATGTGTATACAATCTGCAATGGACGCGATGCTTATCCAGCAACAGCGCCAACGGCAGAGCCAGCCGCGTCAGCAACGCCGGCTTCTTCTACCAGCTTCTTGAAGTGGTAAACCATGACAAGTACGATGTCGTCCTTTCCGAGTCATTAGTCGAGACGCTATGGGCAGCGAGGAATGAAGTCTCTTGCCATGTCGTTCAGGAACTCCGGATTGCCGACCTGTAGGTAGGCAGCATGGGCCTGGCTGAATATACCGCACGACCCGTTATGCCAGCGCCCCGCTTCGATACCGTTTGCCATGTAAAGCTTTGTGCGGGTGATCAATCTCGACACGTCCTCAGAAAGATCGACGGAGACGTACGACACGCCCTTTCCAATAGTAACCGCGGCCAGATGCGCCAGTGAAGTTGCGTTTCCTGCAGACGACGTGAGTTCATCTAAGGCTTCAGACCACCATCGATGGTGTCTGTTACGCACGCTGTGAGGAAGCCATGCTTGTTGATCAGGTCTTTAGCTTTGTATACCTGCCCACGATAGGTAATCTCGTCGTCGTGCAGATTACGCCATGCGATCTCGACAATCACTACAGGCTGTGGACCTAGCTGTCCTGGTAGGAAGCGCGTGATGGTCGTCTTGCTCTTGGTGCAACTTGACGAGTCTGTTGTCACGCGGTAGGTTATGTAGCCACTGCCATCCACAAGATCCGCGGATGTGACGTCTGAGCTTGCTGTTGCGTAGGAGGCATCAGTAAGGACGAGGGCGTAGACATGGGCAGATGGCGTACACGAGTACAGGTTCATTGGCGATCTGTTTGGTAAAATTGGAGAACGTAGCACCAGGTGCGGTCAGCGGTGGTTAAAAATATCAGACCAGTCAGAGACTTCGTGCATTCTACAAGCTCGTGCTTGCAGAGTCTTATACGCGCCCCGGTGGTTGCTCTCCGGTATGAGCATCTCGCGAAGCGCCAAATCAGGACCAAGACGAGTGGGCTGTGCTGCGTTGATTGCAACTCCACAATCAATACTCACAGAAAGAAGTCTACGAGAGCACCTGTCCATTCGACAGGATCGCATTGAACTGAAGCAGCGCGACCGGCGCAAGTAGATTGTGGAAGCTCTGCTCAGCATTGACCTGGGAGTTGCGGACATGAAGCAACCATGAAGGCTGAGAACAAAATCGAGGTGGGCAGAGGTACCGGCCGACACGTGTGCCACACGCGTCATAATTCCGACCAAGAAATCAGTAGCACATCAGAACACCAGCCGGCCAAGCTCAACCCGGACATCCACCATGACTGGCAGTACACGGCGACCTGGGATGCTTTCTGGCGAAGCATACATTCGTAGAGTGCCTTCCCCATTCAGCCTGGAGCAAATTCTAGCCTATTGCACTAAGATCGGGCTGAACGAAGTGCACGATGCCGCCAGTCTTCAGAGCTTTGAGCCCAACCTCGCGAACCTCGGCAGACTGCAGTTTCTTCACAACCTAGCGTTTCCGCAGGACGTGTCTGATCTTCACTAGTCAGTGTCAAAGTCTGCTCTCTCTGCGTCCTGGAGCATCTGTAGTGCTCGCGCTTCATGATGCCATTCCCCACCGCTCCCAGGCTGACCCCAACGCTGTGAAGTCGCTGACATGATTCTCCCCAGCACAAAAGAGCACCATATGCCTGTCACGCCTCATGAGCTTTATCAGAGCATGGTTCTCGATGGAAAAGGCAGCTACTGCTTCGGACAGAACGGACTGTTCCTCGGCATTCTGCGCGGGTTGGGATACAGGTATACACGCCTCATCACCATTCTATATGCGCGTCTCAATCGTGTGCCTAGAGCTTATGGGTCTGCCGGGCGCGTACTCGTACCATCGAGAGTGTCTCCCGACGGGCCTATGGTGTATAGCGGACTGGATCACTACGTGATCCTGGTTCAGCCTCTCCCCGCGCCACGCGACAACATCACATTCGTCGTCGATGTCGGCTTCGGAGGAACAGGCTTGGTCCGTCCTCTGCTGCTCGCCGATGCCTCTGCAGGGGATCCACAGGCATTCGACACCGATTTGAAAGGAGGGTGGGTCTGGGGAAGCTATCCCCCGGAGCGGCACCGCATACTGCAGGGCTCATTCCCCGAAAGCAGCCTCGGTATGCCCACGCCATCAACCTTCAGACGTGCGCTGAGTATGACCCGCCTCTGATAGAGACAGCCCTTGGGTCGGGCGAAGCGCCTCTTCGCGAGTGGCACTTCCAAGTCTCGCACGCCCCGCGCTTACATCCCAATCCGGACGAGCCAGAGTGGCGCACGCTCTTCACGTTCACTGAGGACGAGTTCTTCCTCGCGGACATCGAAGAGGCGAGCTTCTGCGTGAGCAATATGCCGCGGTTCATCTTCAACAACACCGTCATATGCACGCGTCGGATAGAAGTCGCTCTGGAGCGGGACGAGGATGAAGAGGAGGCTAAACTCTGGGGCGGGACTCATGAAGAGAAGTGGTTGGCAAAGTGGAATCTCCAAGGCGGTCAAGTTACACTTCGGGCTGGATCGCGCGTGCTCGAGGAGCGTACGGTGGCGACGGAACGCGAGCGACTGGAAGTTCTGAAAGATGTCTTCGGTGTCAACGTGACGCCGGAGGATGAGCAATGGATGAAAGGACGGTTGGCGGCTCTTCCTACTGCATAGCACATTGTCTCGCTATCAAGTTCATCCTGACACATTGTATAAGAAGAGCATGTGGCGGTGAAGATCGAAAGGATACAGCCAGATGCAGATTGTCTGTACTACTCAGAGTACTGCGGTCACGAGAGCGGGAACGATACCCCATAGAGTAATCGAGAACCAACTGCGAGCTACCAGGTTCATGCTTGCACCAGACGTATCTGGAGTAGTAGTCGCACTTGCACCGGCATTTCCAGATGCTTGTCCAGAAGTGTCCTGAAAGCTCGGTTGAAGACCCTTGCGTACGGAGTAGGGGAACTGAAACCTACGTTTGGTGCACTGCTTCCCATTGATGTTGCGAGGCCCTGGAAAGACGATCCGGATCCATCACCTTGCAGCGGCGCGTTAATCGTCCTATCAATCGCGAGCCCGCTGTCAGTCTTCGGCTTGCGTTTACAGCTTTACTGGGTAGACGCACCCAACCATCCCAGATCCACAATGTCCAGGGTGTTTACAGTGGAAGTATATTGCTGCATCACGATCAGTCTGTGTTCTATTCGCCAAGATCGCATACGTACGTTCGTCGTCCGTTATCTGAATCGTGAAAGTAATCTTCGTCGTGAGATCCGAGTCGAATCCAACGGTCCCGTTCGTAAAGTTAAGATATGTGCATGGTTGCCCAAAGGAGTACGACTGCGTAACAGAGACGGGAAGATCCCTGCGCGCTATGATGAGAAAAGTCCGACTAGCGCGAAACACAAACGGGTAAAGCACGCACGAGGGGAAGTGAAAGTTGACCATCTGCCCCAACGTCGCGTTCACGTTGGGTGGGTTGAACGTCGTGTCATTGTTCGGCGCGACGATGACCTATCTCATCCGATAAGCATCGGACCGTATATACAGTAGGTATGAACACAGGCACGTACATCCAGTGTCCCATTGGGCGACGAAGCCGTGCTCGCGCGTAAAGGGAACGTGCCGATCACCCGTGCGCCAGCCGCCACGAACGCAGGAAACGAGGCAAGAGCGAGGACGCAAACGGCCAGCATAGTCGAATCGACGGGAGGAAAGGGAATGTACTCAGGCTCTACTGTGTCCGGTCCCGAGCACTATATACCATTGGGTAAAGGGGGCGCACCTAGACGCCGAGGGATGAGCGCCTGTCCGGGAACATGATCTGGGTGATTCGTACCTGCCCCATAGCCACATGTGCCCGCCGCAATCTTGAACTTACGCCCTAAATCAGGCTTGAGCGTATGAGCGTATGGTCTTCCGCTTACACCGGCCCTCGCCACAGAGTCACGCACCTATACCACTTGAGCGTAGTTCGCGCACTCGGGAGATGAACCTTGCGCAGGCTTCTCCCGCCATCTAGGTCCAGGGAGTGCGAACGTTTGCTTAGGGACATTATTGGGACAGAGATAGGCCAGGTATCGC